CGTCCTCTACGCCATCTTCAACGCCTTCTTCCACCCCACCGATTCCTCCGCCGCCTTCGACGCCGCCGCCACCTTCTCCTTCAACTCCGTCGCCCCCAAACCCCCCGCCGCCAAGGTCTTCCTCTACGATCTCCCCCGCAGGTTCACCCACGGCGTCATCCACCACCACTCCCTCGCGCGTGGCTCACGCGCCTCCCCCCCCGACGACGTCGCCTCGCTCAAGTACCCCGGCCACCAGCACATGGCCGAGTGGTACCTCTTCTCGGATCTCTCCCGACCTCACTCCGAACGTGCGGCGTCGCCCGTGGCTCGGGTCGCGGATCCCGAGGAGGCCGATTTGTTCTTCGTGCCCTTCTTCTCCTCGCTCAGCCTCATCGTCAACCCGGTCCGACCGCCCGGCTCGGGGGCCGGTTCGGAGAAACCGGTTTACAGCGACGAGGAGAATCAGGAGGCGCTGGTGGAGTGGCTGGAGGGGCAGGAGTATTGGAAGAGGAGCAAGGGGAGGGATCACGTGATTGTGGCTTCGGATCCGAATGCCTTGTACCGGGTCATCGATCGGGTCAAAAACTGCGTCCTGCTCGTATCGGATTTCGGCCGGTTGCGACCCGACCAGGGCTCGCTCGTGAAGGACGTCGTTGTGCCCTACTCGCACCGGATCAGAACGTACGAGGGTGATGTCGGTATCGGGGGTCGCAACACCTTGTTGTTTTTCATGGGGAATCGGTATCGCAAAGAGGTAATGTCTTGTGTTCTGATCTGGATCCTTCATTTCAATTGAGATGATGAATCGTTGACGTGTGGTTAGATTTTATATTGTGTTGCTCTACCTATGGTTTTAAGTTGCGCTTAAGGTCGCGATTTCCCTTGCGATCCTTGGCATTGTGGAAGATTGCAAACGAATGTAGCTTATGCAGCCGCAATTGTGGTCGTAGGGAGCTCAAAAGTCTTGACGCCGTGGCCGAAATTGTGGTTGCTGATGTAGACTGTGTTTTAAAACCTTGGTTCTGCTTGCATCGGAATAAAAGTAATTTAGCTTGTGCTTTTAGGATCAATGCTGGAATGAACATGCTGCTGAAAGGGCTATGAATTTTGATCTAGTAAAGGTTTTAGAATTGTGGTCATAGACTGTTGCATACAACCACAACTGTGGTTGTGGTGACCCCATAAACCTTGATGTTGCAACTGAAATTGCAGTCATGTTTCAAAACCTTGGATCAAGCTGGGAGATTCTGCTTTGTGTACATTTGAAATGCCTCTTGGTTATGAATGTAGTTTTAAGAAGCAAATTGAAGGATGATGGATTCAATGAAATTTAAGTAGTTTATTTAGGCAACTACCATGGAGCCTCCTCTCTAGAGATCTACATACCACATGGTCTTTGTCTCTGGACTTCTTAGTTTCATTGGCATTGCATTTTCTTCTTTGCTGTGTGTTTGCAAAACCACCTTCTTTTGTCTTTTGTTACCTACATGGTATAAATTATTGGTTTTGTAATTAGAAGTATTGCATTATTATGCTTATGTATTAACCAAAAGGAGTTGAGTCTGGTGGAAGGAACTATTCTCCCACTACCTGGTGAACCAAGTTCCAAATTCCCGCCAAGATTGATGTCCATATTTAGTGTCTTGAATAGTGCCTCAATATTGGTTGAAACAAGTGGTAGCAACTTGTATTCCTTAACTAAGATATCCAGGGTTCAAATCTTGACTTAATATATGAAATAAACTATATCGGGAGGGAAATATTCACTTTGTGTGCACTCATGATCTTTGTTGTTGATTAGTCACTGCATTAGTAAATACTTCTTACCAATATCATAATTATACAAAAAAATTAGTGTCTCAAATAGGATTGTCTTTGAAAGAGGATACCTATTGAAAAAAAAGTTGTCTTTAAACTGATATGTATTCTTTGTTTGAGGTAATGTTTTACTTTTTAGTGGTCTTGGTCTTGTATACTGCGTAGTACCAGTATGAATCAGTATTTATCAGGGTTTTAAATTGTGTGCTATAGTGGTGGAGTGGAAAGGCCCTTTGCTCCCGCATTGGTCGCCATAGCAGACCAAATAGTGGGCCAAATAGAGGTTATAGTGGCTGGGATAGTGGCGCTACATGTTGATACCTTAAAAGGTCCTCTATACAGAGACCTTAGGACTATTGGGTGGAGCAATTTCTTGGATTTTAATTTCCAAAAATGAAATGTATAGCTGTAAAAGTAGTGAAAATGACAAAGAAGACTTGGATTTAGAAGATGAGAATTGACAATCCTACATAAAAAACTTGTATTTGACTTTTGTTGGCATTTACTTGTACTAATGACTTTTTATTGTTAATTATGAATCGCAAATTTTGAGTAATTTTTACCAGGTTTTTATAATGTGTATAATATATAATATGCATTATATAAACTATAAACTATATTAAAAAATTCAGCATAGCAGCTATCCACTTATAGGATTTTTGGGTGGTTGCTATGTGCCTCTATCCTTCAAGATTTGAAACACTGGGATCTTTGATAAGTTTCCCCATTGTATTTTCATTAAAATACTTGAGCATCATGCTGTAATAATGTTGCTTTCCTTGTATTTGCTTAAATAACCAGAACATTGCCTTTGATTAGGATGATTTATTGTTCTTGTTGTATTGATTCCTTTTTTGTCCTCATCTGTTTTAAAGGGAGGGAAAATTCGTGATACACTCTTTCAAATAC